AAATTATATGGCTTTAAATATATCTTAAGTACATGGAATAAGTAATTACTTACAAGGCACGCAACTCATCCAACGTGGGCACACTTTGTATACGACATGATTTATCATCATCCTGTTCATATTCTATAGGATGTTTCCTTATTTTGTGATCCCTGCAATTGGCACCGCTGGCAAAGTCCTTATTGCAGTACTTGCACGTATATGGCCGCAATCCCGTATGACTCAACAGGTGAATTTTCAGCGCCGTTGAATTTTTTGTCGCGGTACCACAAATGCTGCACTTGAACCGGCGCTCGTTAGTGTGAACACTTTTATGCTTATTCCAAATGGCACGCGTCTGCAATTTCTTGCCGCAGATCTCACACTCGTAACTGGGCTCGCCGTGTGTTTGGCTGTGTATCTGATAATTAAAAGCATATATCAAAAGGTGGAATTATCTGAATCTTAGCTATCTAAGATTCTCTGCCACTTACAGGTCTTCAAAGCATTTAGATAGATAGGGCACTTACATTGAGTCGCTTTCTATTTTTAAAGGCCGCATTGCACAATGGACACACAAAGGGCCGATCCTCGGTATGCACAAGCATGTGCTCTTTCAGCTCTGAAACTGTTCGGACACGTTTACCGCAGACATCACAGACGAAGGGCTTCTTTTTCATATGCACGCGCTCTATATGATACTTAAGTCCATTCTCCGATGATAGCTCTTTGTGGCAAACATTACAAGTGACAGGATTTTTCCTGATTTGACTGTCGTTGAGGTAACTATTCCTCACAGCTCCTGCTGATAATGTTTCAGCTTCGGGCACTGGAGATGCGAGTAAAAGTCTGGCTAGTGCGACATTTTTACATTTCGAATTGTTTTTGTTGTGCAAGATAATACTTTCATGCTTTCTGGGACGTCCACGTTTTCTTTTACTGGTACTTTGTGCGGATTCATTGGGATTGAAGAGTTCATCTCTATCGGCGCTCTGATCCTTGGCAATCAATTGATTTGGCTCGTCAGTTGATTTTCTTTTAAAGGTTGGCGTTAAAAAGTCGAGCTCCTCTTTTGATACCTCCCATTCGTCGTGTACCTCAGTTTTAACCGATTGTTTGGGTCGACCACGTTTTCTTTTTATAGCACTATTCGGAGTAGTCTTATTCTCTTCCATGGAATAATCTTCCAGCCAAATGTGATTTTGTACCAGTTCTTGCTCAATGCTCTCTTCATGGCTACTTGATGGATCCTCGTGTAAGTCCGTGGAAGCTTCAATTTCGAAATCTTCTATAGCTTCTTGATGCTCATTTGATTCTGCAGCTTCATCGTATTGCAGCTTCTTTGAGCCCTTAGGCCGTCCACGTGTTCTCTTTTCCGGAGTTGGTGATACGCTCAAACCAAGTTGAGGATCACTATCAACATCTTGGTAAAATAGTTGACTGCTATCATCTAAGCTGCCTTCCCGACTGCTCAATTCTTCCAAATCTTCTGGTTCCGTTTTGTAGCTATGATCTGATGAGAATTTTTCCGGTAGACCATATTGTTGGCGCAGTGCATGCACATCCAATTGCTCGTTGGGCTCGGTGTGGCGCAACAGCTCAAAGATGGGCTGCACCTTATTGACATTTTCTGCAAAGTTCAGCAGTTCGCCTATTAAGGCGTAGCACTCGCTGCACAGCATGGCACCCAATTGGGGCTCTTCGAGACCTATCTGTAGACGGAATTAAGTAAATAATCACGTATTATTGTCTTACTGCAGTTGCTCACCTCGATATCAAAACACTTGCTTATAATACGCATATATACATCTTTTTGACGCACATTGATGGACGCATCGTCGTTGGCGCATAGGCGACACCAGTCCAACCAGTACCGTTCCGTACCTTTTTTATTTCTTAATTTTTTCATCGCGTTGGAAAATTAATAAGGGCGCGCAAAATAAAACAATAATGTATATTATTGGCATTGCTATGAATTAGGGTGACCATGTTACGCATGTCAACATTGCTAGTTTATGGCTGACCATATTAGTAGCAGCTGTTAGTGTGACCGTAGTTCGGAAATCAGGGCTGACGTTAGCATTTTTATTTGGCATCGATGCTTTTTTTTTGTGATATCAAAGTGTTTTTACCTGGCTACGCTTGCGCAGTTTAAGAGTTTTGTTTTAATTGTTTGGTTTTACAAATTGAAAGTGGAAATGTGCTCAGTTGTTGAACAAAATATGTGTGGGTGTCTGGCCTATTGTTTTTAACTATTATTTGTTACATGAAAGCAACTTAATTGTGCTGCGTGTAACAAGATACATTTGATTGCTGCGTACACCATTTGCTATTGCATTAGTGTGGGTTACATTGTTACATACAAACCGTGGCTAGAGGCCAGCCCCAGCCCGAGCTGCTGGCCATTGAGCACAAACCGCATTCCACAGAGCGGCGGCCACAGCGCAGACCATCAATGAAAAAGGTGCGTTCGATCTAAACTGGTGTTGATTTATTTTAACCATATATAAGTTTATCATTTACTGCTCGCAGTAAGCGCCATGCATCACCATCATCCGCCATTGCCCATAATGAGCACGGCAAACGCGGCAGTGCCAGCAACGGTCGCTTCCTCGCAGTCGCAACAACCGCCGGCACAGCAGCAGCCACAACAACGGCGTCGCAAAAAGCGTCCCAACTACGGCACACGGACCGTGGAGGTGCGACGTGGTTATAATGGCTTTGGCTTTACCATATCCGGGCAGCAGCCATGCCGCTTGTCCTGCATCATCAGTAATTCGCCTGCCGAGCAGGCAGGTCTGCGCGCTGGTGACTTTCTCATCTCTGTGAACGGCCTCAATGTGTCCAAGCTGCCGCATGAGACTGTGGTGCAGCTAATTGGCAATTCGTTCGGCAGCATACGCATGCAGATTGCGGAAAACTATTATTCGGACAGTTCGGACGAGGAGAATGCCAATGCCACGCTTCTGATACAGCGCAGTGCCCGTGGCCAACTGCTGGCGGCCAGCTTGGGACCGGGTGTACGCAACAAGCCGCGTTTTCTGCATCACAAATCCAAGATGAACCGTCTGCGCAACTCCCCACAAAAGAAGCCACCTGAGGTTGCTGAAGCTGTGGCGCCTGTGGTACCGGATCATGCCACGTTGCGTCCGGTGCTGGAGGATGCGCCGTTGGCCAGTCTCGGCAAAGTTGCGGATGTTGCCAATGTTAGCGCCATGGTGCGCGCCGTTGGCAGCGCTGCCCTGGAATACCGTGTCATTGTTGGCTATCTGGGCACCATTGAGATGCCCAAACAGATTTCGCACAGCTCCAAGCTACAAACAGTGCGCTCCTGCATACGTAAGCTGCGCCAAGAGAAGCGACAACCCACCATTGTGCTTATGTGCATCACGCCGGACTCGCTTCGCCTGCAGAGCGCAGGCGGCGGCACACTGGCCACCTATGCCTCGGCGCGGCTCAACTATGTCAGCTCCTCGTCGGAGAGCGAGAATCGTTTCTTTGGCCTTGTTACCAGCGCCGTGCACAACACGCAAGTTGATGAGGAATATGAACTGGAGGACAAGTCCAATGCCAGTGGTGGCCACATTAGTATATCGCACAGTTGTCATGTCTTTGTCATTGATACCAAGCTAATTGAGCATGGCCAGCATTTGGCACGCGCCCACGAATATCGCTTGCAATGCACCAGGGATCCCATTTCCAATCTGTGCCTGGAGTTTCCCAATAACTCGGAGTATGTGGTGAATCTTATACGCAGTATGTACACGATGCGCATCCTACCCCCTGCCAGCCGCAACCAACAGCCGCAGGATTACGAGGCTGGTGCCGCCGCTGCTGCTCACTCACCGCAGCCGTCCAATCACAGCGAGATATCTACAACCACCTCCAACTCGGATTCGGGTATTGGCTTCAACAATGACTGCACCAACATATCTGATCGCATCTTGGTTGTCGACTTTGCCGGCGCACCGGCGGCCGCTGCTCTTGGGCTTGCCCCCATGGCCCCTGCTGCAGCGCGTCCATTGGGCATTGTGGGCGTGCCTGATAATCGCCTGACTGTGCGCGCCATGCCAGATCCCGATCGCAAGTCACCGTCTGCGTCCTGTTCATTGCGTCGCCCCAATTTACTGGCTAGCTTCAATCTGATCAAGAGTCCGGCTACAAATCTCACGGCCACGCGCTCTTGCGATGATGTTCTGAACCTCTTTGTGGATGAATCGCCTGTGTTAGCTGCTGTCGCCTCCATGGATGATATTTCACTGCATTCCACCGTACCCTCGCTGGATGAACCGCACACTTTTGTGCATCCAGCATGTGTGCCCCGCAAGACGCGACGCTCCATGCAGCCAACGCCAACAGTTGCGACAGCCCCAGAACCAACTCCATCTAAACTGAGCGCCCAAGTCTTTGGCAAGCCACGTTCGCGACAATCGCTGGGCTTTGAGGCCATCGATAGCGTCCAGTCAGCTGGTGTGGCCTGCGCCGATCAGCCCATGGACACCTGGACCAGTCTCCAAAACTTACACAAAGCAATTAATCCGATTACGGATCTACAATCATCTTCATCCACACATTGCCTACTAGAAGCTACCAACAGTGAACCCGATCTGGGGGTAAGTGCAACCAGTATTGTTAAACATCTTGTTTTTTTTTTTATTATTTGCTTATATGGGGTTTATAATATATATATATGCAATAACTAAGGGATATAAACAGATTCTAAAGTGGCTAACTTTCTGTTTGATAACTTTTAGAATTTTAAAGGGTGACTTATCAATCATCTAGTTGATCATAAGCTATCTAACAGGTATCTCCGAGCTTTCCAGCCCACATATAGTAGGAATACGATACGAATCGAACTGTATCGCAGAAAATATAGATCTAGAGAGGTTTCTAGGTTCGAGATTTAATTGTTTGCATTACCTGGCTTTCACTAGACCCAATTGGGCTATATAGGCTCTATATAGAATATTTCCGTCAAAATTGAATGTGCTTGCACACCTCTGAATACATTTGTTTTCTTTTTATGAATTCTTTTTTAATGCATATGTGAGTTATTTGAGGCTTCTTTCCATTGTGTATGTAAAATCCGTAAAATGTAACAAACATTCCCAACTTAAGATTCAGATAAAACTTTTCTTTTTTGGCATTTGATATAATGAATTTTGAATAACTTTCAAAATTTATTATTTTGGGCGATTTATACGAGAATGTTTTGCCTTGGAGCCGGCACTGGTGTTAGATAGCTTTGTTTACCTGGACAGTGGTGGGTTGTGTTACCTGAGCTTGTTGAGCTTATCGCGCCGCTGACTCTCGCTGCCGCTCTCTACCCCTCGCTCTCTCTTTCACACACACGTTTCGGTCCCCACGATAAGCAGCCCCAGCAGAAACACATGAATATTTTGGCCTGGTGTTGTGTGCATGTGATTTTTCTTTGTCAGAAATGGAACTTGGTTTGGGTTGGGGTTTGGGTATTGAAGCTTCGGATACCGGCGAGTGCTTATGCTGCTGCTGCTGCTGCTGCTGTTGTTCAGTAGTCGGCGCGACGCTTCTGCAATAGGTGTATTTGGTACGTTCGCTGCTGCAGCCTCTGCTGTCGCTACGCTGCGCGTCGCATTCCTGTAATCGGCGCTCGCGTCACACATTGATAAGGAACGGAAACCGCCGACCTGGGTTGGCCACTAAAAATAAATCGCCAGTGACGTCATGCGCGCATATCGCCAGCTCAGGCTCTATCGAAAGCTAACTGCGACGTTAACTGCGACGTCGACGTCGCTGTCGCTGTCTCTGCCGAGCTTAATTCAATCTAAAGCAATTAATGAAAAAAAATACACACAACTCGCCATTTGACGACGAAGTCTGCTGACCTTTGCATTGGCGCTCGGCGTTCGGCGTTCAACTCCCCCCCCCCGCGACTTGGTGCCCGGCGCGATTTCGATTGATTTAGTTTGATTTTTGGTTTGGGCCAACGCGATTTAGTTATATTTTATTTGTATCTCGCTGTGTTTTCACTTTCGCTCGACGTTTTTGCGCAATTTATTTTATTGAAAAAGAAAAATATACAAAACAAGAATTGTGCCATAAAAAGTTCAACAGAAGTTCAAGAGCTCAGTGAACTTTATAAAAAAAAAATATGTGCATATAATAATAAATTATCGTTAAGTGCCCAAAAAAAATAAACAAATAAAATTACAAAAAATAAACAATCGAACAAAGTAAAAAGCCTCACTTCAACTGCTTTCAACGCCAACTCAATTCAAAAATGTCATTTCGAGAACTCGTTTGTGGCCTACACTCGGAGGAGCATCCGGTAAGCGAAATGCACTTCAGCTATTCTAGAGTATGTCAAATGCAAGCTAATATAGCTGCTTAGTCCTAAAACTGTTTCGACTGGCACTCGGCTGACCTTTGTAAATGTCATGACCTCATGCCTGATGCCAACTGACCAACCGGTTAGAATTGTAATTATAAACCAAATACATGTATACTATATATACATACAAACCTGTGGTAAATGGTATATATATACACATATTCCCATGAACATTGTCAACTGAAATTAGAACATGAAATGTATTTCATGTTGCCGAGTCGACACACTTAGCTACCTTTTTATGGTTGCCTGACTCTTGCCCACCCCTTGCACTATTTGTCCCCAGCCCCAAACCCAACGGAGGAGTCAGCGATATCATTTTCTGATTACTCAATTCGTGTTAAGTTTGCGTGGCGCATGTTTGTTTTTTGTCTTTCTAGTACAGACACCTGCCTTACCTCAGGTTGAATACTGTTATTCATTACAAATACCTAAATACACATATATAGATATTTCTAGCTAGTACTCAGTCCGTCAACTAGTGAGCTCAGTGCAATGAAACATTGCCCAAGCTTATCCACAAAGAAGTAGAGTAAATGTCTTTCTAATGGGTTCATATATTGTTATTCATCAGAATATGATGCCAGTAATAACGTGTTAAATAATATAATAATAACAATATGGAAAGAATCATATTTAATCTTCAGTTAATTCTCGTCTGAATATACGTCAGTTGCGGATAACCTTTGCAGACATCATTTTCAAGATAAATACCATGACCTATTTTTATTTCGCCTAATGAGATAATCGGTTAAACTTTATTATTTAAAGTATTTGCATGTGGTTGAACTGCATTATAATAATAAATGAGGCCAAATATTATTTACTGAAATCGCAAAACGAAGTTTCAGTTACAATATGATATTAAATAGACCACGATTGACTTGAACTTAGTAAATAACTTAACTTGTCTGACTTTTGATTTTGCTCAGTGTACATATTTATATGCAGGGGAATATTCAAGGTTTTCAGTGCGCTTAGAGCGGCACGCAATCCGCCAGAGAGCCGACTCTAACAGGTTGTCCCCAGAGCACCTGAGCACGACCATTTTGGCGGCAATATGCAAGCAACAAGGCGCATGCCGTTGCTGTTGCAGGTGTCTGAAAAACAACCCTCGTGCCACAAAAGGAAGCAAGCAGCAGCGGCAACAGCAGCTGACAAGGAAAGGCACTTGCCGCAGTTTCTTTGCTTCCTTCCTGCGCGCTCGAATGGCCAGGGAAACGTCATGGGAAATGCGCAGCTCACTGCAAATCATTTAACTTCAGGTGCGTGTCGGGCTTATAGCTTGACTTGAGTCCACAGTAAGCCACCAAATGACCTTACCACCGATTGCCGATAGCATTTCATAACGTATTTGCCAGCTGACGTGAACATGAGAAGCCATTGCAATGTGCTGAAATGTTGCATGTGAATATGCACGTAGTATAATATACAGCGGTTATCTATTGTCGATATGACACGAATGTAATGGATTATGTTCTTTTATCTATATATGAACATACATATATTTGTAATTCGCAAGATTTTTGGTGCTAAACAGACGCCGCTTCTGATTAGCCCCCGCTTATCAGGTAAACGACGCAGCCAGAGGCCAAGCACAAAAAATATATTAATAATTTATTTAAATTTAGACCATCGAATCGAATAACAACAACAGAGTCTGTTTCTTCAAATAGAAATAGTAAAACAGTATGAAAACCCAAAAACAATAACAATAACAATAATTGTATCAACTGCGTCAGAAATGATTCTTAATAACAAACACATTTAACATAAAGCAGGCACGTAGCCCACCAATTGATATGGCTGAGTACCCTGTAAACAATTCGCAAGTGACAATACACAAGGCTCTGCTAAATACACGAGGCATCCATAAAAACATATATTTACTACCAGGCTCTCAGAGAGAATCTGTTTATTGATTTATAATTTAACCAATCCTCTGTATTTAAGGCGCAACGGGACTTATATTTAATGTTAATGGGTCAATCAAATACCTCACCTCTAACCTAAACATAAGTTTACATGCACACCTTGCTTTGTTTTGATTAATATAGTGTATCATCTTATTTAACTATTGAAATTATGATAACATTTTGATACATCTACATCTTATGATCTAAATGTTCACATTCTGTCTTAACATACCGTTAAATAGAGCACACACTGTTAAATAACAGCTCTCTTTATGTAGTCTTTCAAAAGTTCTCTTTATTTAATTTAAAGAAAAATGTTATTCAGACAAGTAATTATATTTGTACACTCTTAATATATATCGTTGCAATATATAACCTATAAAAAGTTGATATGCCCTTTAGCTACACTCTCTACAAATTATGGAATTAAATTACAAAGCCGACAGAGAGCGCAGCGAGCGGCACTGCAGAAACACCTGACTCTGGCTTTGTACCCTCGGTATCAGGTGCCAGTGACTAACTGGTGGTGGTGGCAGCAGCAACAACCACAACAGCAACAATAATAACAACAAACACAACAACAACAGCATCATCAACAATATCAAATGCAACAACAACGTTTCCCTTCAATCAACAATAAAAAAAAAACGAATAAAACGCGCGCACGCGCTCTTTTTCCCCAGCGCCGCTCAACAGCTGCCGCTGCTGTTGTCGCTGCTTTTAGTTGTTGTTGTTGTTGTTGTTGTCGTTGTTGCCGCCGTTACTGAGCCAAGTTAACAACGGCGAAACGTTAACAGCGCTCACAACGCGTGAGTCAGTCTTTGAGCACAGCTCGTACGCAACGCATGAACAAAAAAAAAAAAAAAATCAAGAGAGCAAAAATTATTAACCAACTTAATGAATCGAAAAAATAGAAAAATAGAGAAAGAAATGTGTTATTAAGTTCACCGAGAGCCATACAAATTAATATTTCAGCCGTGCTAATTACGGCTGATTCGCCGGAGCAGTCACCCCCGTTCCCCGCCTCTTCGATTTTGTGTATGTGGCGTTAAGAAACGGATTTCTATATTTGAGCCTTGTGGCTTGTTTTGTGCGCTAAAAATAAAACGCGAAAAAGTAAAGAAAAAAGTTATAATAACAAAAGCACATGCAAATATTTTTCAGTTTATAAACTGTGCGCACACACACACTCGCACACACACACACACACACACGGGATTATGCTCCAAAAATATTTCATGTAATTGCCCGAAGGTTATTTTGCGTAAATAAACGAAAAATCGCCGCCAATTCGAAACAACGTCATTCAAAAATCGCGCACAAAACGCGCACGAAACGCGCGCATTTAAAAAAATTCCCCTCAAAAACAAGTTGAGAATTTGAGTGTTTGGAAATATTTGACCTCTGACGCGTCTGTGTATTTTCCCGCTAGACAAATTTGATTTATGCGTTGTGTGCGTGTGTGTGTGTGTGTGTGTGTTTTTTTTTAATAAACTTTACCTAGAACTCTTTATAAAAGATATAAACAAAACATTATCGTACAATTAAAAAGCAAAGTATTCGCACGTTTGCAGTTTAACCGGAATTTTGGGGCTTGTTCGTGCCAGCTGCTGCTCTCCCGTTCCCTGATTAATATGGCCCATTCAATAATGGCGCCAACAATACGATATTCAGCTATATATTCCACCTAAATCTTCGTTGTAGCACATTTCCGTTAAATCTTCCAAAAATAGCCGGCAACATGCTTACATTTTGGCATTCCATGGAAAGCTTTTTCATCATCTAGGCAATTGCAGGCCACAAATTGCACAACTTGTATTATAATGCCGCGATCATAGATATCTTTCAAGTATTATTGTGATTACGGAATGACTGTTAAATGATGTCACAGCCAATGCAAAAGGCAAAGCTTTGATCTTTGTTTGCCTGGCCGCCTGCTTAACTGCATCAAAGGCAAAAACGTAGAGCTCTACAGAGATGCAGGGGGGTGTCTACACTTAGAGAAAAGCTCATGCATTGTGTGCTTGAATTTAAAGTAACATCAACTTTAAATTTTATATATGAAAATTAAATTAATCACAAAATACTTATAACCAGCATTTTCATACTTGGCACAAAATTGGATTTACCTTTACGAACATTTCTTTGATAGAGCTTCAAGACTTATGCGGGACTTTCTCTGAGTGTAGGCTAGTCAACTTTAGCTGGGAGCAGTCTCTTGTATATATGTATGTTACATATATGTATATAGCTGGCTTATTCACCATGCGTCGTGACTTTTTAGCGACCGCTGTTGTTAATTATACAATGATCACTTGATAAATACTCTTCACTCGATAGGCAATATACAATGATACAGCTTTTGTCTAGCGAGATGGCATCTATAATTCTGTATGTGAGCAGACTGCTTTAATAGATAAAGTGATTGTCACAATAATTTATCCCTTCTTTTTAAGAACTTATCTTAACTATTAGAGAGCACTCCCTAAAGCCCCTATCACTAGTCAAATTTGAGCATTTGTTTCTTTTCCAGCCATATATTTATGCTACTCTGCATTAGGGCCCAGTCACGATTTGGCCTCCTCCAGCTTGTTTACCCTATTTTCACTAGCTCAAATCTTGAAGGTATTTTCCATATACTATGGCACACGATCAATTTAAGATCTTTTGGAATGCACATAAATATATCGCTGCTGCAATAATTACTGTTGTTTATGCCCTGTAATTACCAACAGCAAAAGGGTATGTTGCGCAGACGGTTAGCTAAATGTACATAAAAAAATATATATTAATCATAAAGTCTGAGGTCTTTTTTCAATATTCAATGCCAGAAGAAAAGCTCGGCTAGTTAGTCCGCATTTCT